GAATATCCTCCAGGCCCCCAGTAGGGGTCAGTCACCAGAGGTCACAATGACTTCCAGGTGCATACACACACACAAACAAACACATGCACAGAAATATAAAAATACAAAAAAATACTCCCCCCCCCCCAACAATGGGCTTAGACTTCTGCATAGGCTTGCACTAGAACAAATTGCCTTTTTCATTTGGGTTGGTGCTGAAATATTTTCGGGCATTTTTTTTAAAAAGTGAGTTTGCTAGCACTCCTTTAAAAAAAATTATTTATTGACTGTGCCACAGAGTTTGTTATCATTTTGAGGCTTTTAGAGATAATTTGCTTACTGCTGCCTTCACAGTTTTTATTGTACAAATTGTCTGCTTTTAAACATTTATTTCTGCTTGTAATAGTATTATATCGACCATCTTTGGTACTAGACCAGTAGAAAGTGTGAGATGCATACTTAACAACTGTAAATAGTTTGCCGCAGGGCTCTTTTTGTAGAAAAAGCCCAGCAGGAACTCATTAGCATAATAGGCCACACCCAACAACAGAAACTCATTAGCGTATTAGGCCACACCCCTGACAGCACAGCTCATTAGCACATTAGGCTGCACCCCCATGTTACCAGAAGTGTGGTTATCCAGCCACACCCACCGTTTGCTTCTTATTCTGTTTACCTTGTTTGTTGTCAAAACCCAGGGCTTTTTTTGTAGCAGGAACTCCTTTGCATGTTAGGCCACACACCCCTAATGTAGCCAATCCTAATGAGTTCCTGCTGTTGGGTGTGGCCTATTATGCTAATGAGTTCCTGCTGGGCGTGGCCAACTCAGGAGCCAGCTGGAACAGGGTTCCTGCTACAAAAAAAGCCCTGGGTTTTGACAACAAACAAGGTAAACAGAATAAGAAGCAAAAGGTGGGCGTGGCTGGATGACCACAGTTCTGGTAATGTGGGGGTGTGGCCTAACATGCTAATGAGCTGTGCTGTCTGGGGTGTGGTCTAATATGCTAATGAGTTTCTACTGTTGGGTGTGGCCTATTATGCTAATGAGTTCCTGCTGGGCTTTTTCTACCAAAAAAGCCCCAGAGAGGTCTATTGATGGATACTAGCCATGGTGACTGAGGGGAACCTCCACGTTCAGAGGTACTAAGCCTCTAAATCCCAGAGGCAGGAGTTAACATCAAGGGAAGGCCTCCGCCTCTAGGCCCTGTTACTGGCCAGAGGAACAGGTTGGCCACTGTGTGAGTCAGGATGCTGGACTAGATGGACTATAGGTCTGATCCAGCAGGGCTCTTCTGATGTTCTTATCAGGGGAAGGCCTTGGCCTCTCTGCCCTGTTGCTGGCCCTCCAGAGGAACGGGTTGGCCACTGTGTGAGACAGGACGCTGGACTAGATGGACCACTGGTATGATCCAGCAGGGCTCTTCTTATGTTCCTGAATGGCAGTCCTTCACATCTTGCGATCCACTCCTTAAAGCAGGGTGACTTTTGGCTGTGTGACTGTTCCCCCAGAAGCTGGATATACGCTTAATAATGGAATCGTATCTTGGATCCTATCTTTTGAGTAAACGGAGTTGAATTAATACTGTGGGTGTAGTTCCAAGTGGATGGGTTTTCAATTACATTTTTCCACAATGAGAAGTATAAATCTAATGGTTTTTAATACTTCAGTAGCCACCCCCCCTCCTTTTAATATGACTGTGTCTGAGCCGTAGCTTAAGCCCAGCTCAATGGCTAAGGTGAGACAAGGTTACAGTCTGCATGAAAGAACTCTTTCAAGAGGAGCATCACAGTTCAAAGCTCTTGTTGTGTAAATGACTTGGCGTTTGGATGAGCTGCGAGTCGGGAGTCGTTGATTCAAATCATTACTGGTCCACAGCATTAGGCAGTTGTTATAGCACCTCCTCTGGAAGTTCCTAAAGATAAATATACTGTTGTTCTAGTTCAAATTGGAGGCATCAAACATCTAAAGTAGTTTTTCATGGTTATCACTTAGGCAGATCACAGTGTGTCTCAAGAACCTGTGTGATAGTTGCTTGTTCAGTTGTTGCACCTGTTGACAGGGAACAAATCTCTCTGGCTGTGAAATAGTTGAATGTATACCCAGGACAGTTTAGGACTACAGTTGCGATTGGAAAAAAAATCACCACAAATCAGATCAGAAAATAGGCGGGAGGACAGTGTGTAAAGCATTGGGATGCCCTGAATTACTGATCATGTTGTCTGGATTCTCTGTTGAAATGAAGTGAATGATTCATGGTGATTCCAGGGTAAATTATGCGAAGAATGAACCAGCCTACAGATGAGCCAAACTCTTGACTGGACATTGGGAGGGGCTGTGGCTCAGTGTTAGAGCCTCTGCTTGGCATGCAGAAGGTCCCAGGTTGAATCCCCAACGTCTCCTGCTCAAAGGGTCAGGTGGTGGGGTGATGTGAACGATCTGTACCCGGGACCCTGGAGAGCTGCTGCCAGTCGGAGTAGACAGTATTGACCTTGATGGACTGATGGTCTGAATTCATCAGACGACAGCTTCCTGTGTTATGGCCACACTTGTCTCCCCTCCTTCCTTTTGGGGAGGGGCTGTGGCTCAGTGGCAGAGCATCTGCTTGGCACGCAGATAGTCCCAGGTTCATTCCCTAGCATCTCCAGTTAAAGCGGATCACTTAATAGGTAATACGAGGGACCTCAGCCTGAGACCCTGGAGAGCGGCTGCCAGTCTGAGCAGGCAATACTGAATTTGAGGGACCAAGGGTCTGATTCAGTATAAGAAGAAGAAGAAGAAGATAGAAGACAGCTTCCTGTGTTATGGCCACACTTGCCTCCCCTCTTTCCTTTTGGGGAGCGGCTGTGGCTCAGTGGCAGAGCATCTGCTTGGCACGCAGATAGTCCCAGGTTCATTCCCTAGCATCTCCAGTTAAAGCGGATCACTTAATAGGTAATATGAGGGACCTCAGCCTGAGACCCTGGGGGAATCAAACCCGGTTCTCCCAGATTAGAGTCCGCACACTTAACCACTACACCAATAAGGCAGCTTCATGTCTTCATTTGTGTCTGGATACATAATCTCACCCCAGAAGTTAACATGGGCCTCTCCAGGACAATCCAAATTAGGATCATTGCAGGGTAGGTGGAGCTTTTGAAAAGACCATTCCCAGTGAGAATGATTTAGAGTTTCCCCCTGGCGGTGTTATCGATGCAGCGAGCATGAAGTTGAGCAAACTCCGGAGGACGACGGAAGACGGGAGGGCCTGGCGTGATGTGGTCCATGGGGTCGCGAAGAGTCGGACACTACGGTGCGACCAGGGGTCATTTCGTAGAAAAAGAGGTGCAGGAGCTCATTAGCATTATTTATTTATTTATTTATTTATTTCTTCAAACTTATACCCCGCCCTCCCCGCAAGCGGGCTCAGGGCGGCTTCCACTAAAAACATAAATTACATTAAAATACACAGTATACAGCATACCATAAAACATTAATACATAAATACAAAGTGCAGGCGCAGAAAAATTCATCTCGATGGTGAGTTGCATAACTCATTAGTATAACTTATTTGCATATGCCACTCACCCTGACATCACCGGAAGTGTGTCGGAAGGCAACACCCACCGCTCAGGCTCCACTGGACTGTTTTGGATTGCTAGCTATTGGGGGGGGGGACGCGCAGATCTGCCCTCACAGAGGAGGGAGAGCTTGTACCTGAAGGCAGGCCGGGGGAGGAGGCTCTGCAACTTACCTGGCTGCTTCTTGCTCCTCGTGGCCCGACTGAGGGCTGCTGGGAGCAGGGGGCGGGGCTTGTTGCATGTGCCTGCCCCCTGGGCTCCTTACTGCCGGAGCTCCGCTCCTGTGCGCTCCCGCAGGAAATGACCCCTGTGTGCGACTGAGAAACAACAACAACAACTGGTGGTGCCAAATAAAATAAATAAAATAAATTCTAAAAGTCTGAGCCTGCTCAACATATGGAGACCTTTACACCTGTGCCCAAGGCCAGATGTATGAGCCATCAAGGCTGCTTCTTTGGCTGCCCCTAAATTCGTTCTCCTCAAGTAATGAAATTGGTCCTTGGGGTTAATTCCAGCAAAGCTCATGTGGGTTAACGGTAAAAAACACTACAGAGCCAGTGTGGTGTAGTAGTTAAGAGTGTCGGACTAGTATCTGAAAAACCCTGGTTCTAATCCCCGCTCGTACCATGGAAGCTTGCTGGGTGACTTTGGGCCAGTCACGTTATCTCAGCCTAACCTACCTTGCAGGGTTGTTGTGAGGATGAAATGAAGGAAAGGAGAAAGATGTAAGCTGCTCTGAGTCCCCAATGAGGAGAGAAGAAGAAGAAGAGGAGAGTTGGATTTATACCCCACCCTTCACTCGGAGTCTCAGAGCGGTTTACAGTCTCCTTCAGTTCCTCTCCTCACAACAGACACCCTGTGAGGTAGGTGAGAGACCAGCTCCTGAGAGAAGAGCTCTGAGAGAACTTGTGACTGACACAGGGTCACATCAGCAGCTGCATCTGGAGGAGTGAGGAATCAAACCCAGTTCTCCCAGATTAGAGTCCGCACTCCTAACCTTTACTACACCAAATGACTATGAAGGATAAGTATTTACGGAGGATAAATCTATCAGTGGCCACTAGCCATGGTGACTAAAGGGAACCTACAATTCTCTGAATCCCAGAGCCAGGAGACAGCATCAGGGGAAGGCCTCTCTGCCCTGTTGTTGGCCCTCCAGAGGAACTGGTTGGCGACTGTGTGAGATAAGAGGCTGGACTAGACGGACCACTGGTCTGATCCAGCAGGGCTCTTCTGATGTTCTAATGAAGGCCTTGGCCTCTGTGCCCTGTTGTTGGCCCTCCAGAGGAACTGGTTGGCCACTGTGTGAGACAGGATGCTGGACTAGGTAGACCACTGGTCTGATCCAGCAGGGCTCTTCTTACATTCTTAACCATCTTTGCTGGATATATTAAAGCTATTTTCTGCCGTGCTTCTGCTCCACGAGACACCGCCTCGTCTCTCCCTTTTTTAAATACAGAGCCATGAATGACGTTGGAGATTACATTGGCTCGAACACAGAAATATCTTGGTTGCCCAATCTGGATGACTTAATGAAAGGCTACGCGCGGAACTTCAGGCCTGGGATCGGAGGTAAGGATCTCTTGTGTCTGCCAAACAGCAAACACACAACGATATTAGCCCTAAATACAAACGTTGATATGACAGCCATGTATAAAAGGTGGAAATTGAAACATAATGTATTCATTTTATTATTAGTAGTATATTTTTCTCCTGCTTTTCTTCCTGATGGGGACCCAAAGAAGCCTACAAAACACACGCTTTTAAACAAGTTTGAATAACACAATAGAAAGCATAACAAAAGATCAACAATGAATTAGGCCATCCTGGGTTGATGTCTGCCAGGTTAATGCATGTGACCACGGCCTGGGTTCTGATCCACAGATATAGAGCCACGAGACAGAGCATTCTAACCACTTATGCAGAAGGTCCCAGGTTCAATCCCCAACATTTCCAGTTGAGAGGGTCAGGTAGGAGGTGACGTGAAAGACCTCAACCTGCAAACTTAGAGAGCTGCTGACAGTCTGAGTAGACAGTACTGATTGCTCAGTAGGTGATGGGAAATGTTTATTTATTTATTCACATTTATATTCTGCCCTCCCCGCAAACGAGCTCAGGTCGTATCACAATCAGAAACCTGAGCCTGAGACGCTGGAGAGCTGCTGCCAGTCCGAGTAGACAATACTGATTACTCAGTAGGTGATGGGAAAGACCTCAGCCTGAGACCCTGGAGAGCCGCTGCCAGTCCGAGTAGACAATACTGATTACTCAGTAGGTGATGGGAAAGACCTCAGCCTGAGACCCTGGAGAGCCGCTGCCGGTCCGAGTAGACAATACTGATTACTCAGTAGGTGATGGGAAAGACCTCAGCCTGAGACCCTGGAGAGCCGCTGCCGGTCCGAGTAGACAATACTGACTTTGATGGACCAAGGGTCTGATTCAGCATAAGGCACACGGACTCTGTTCTCACTGAACTTTGAATTCTTCAAATATCAGTTTTCAGTTTGTTCAGAAATTGGTACAGTGGTGGTCATCGAGGGGTGTTACTAGTGAGTAAAACATGGTTGTAACATCGGCGGTAGACCCGTAGAACAAAGTTTGAGTCCAGTGACACCTTTAAGACCAACAAAGTTGAATTCTGGGTGTAAGTTTTCGTGTGCATGAAGATGTATGCATGCACATGAAAGCTTATACCAAGAAGTAAACTTTGTTGTCTTAAAGGTGCCACTGGACTCAAATTTTATTCTGTTGCTTCAGACCAACACGGCTACTGACCTGAATCTATCGATATGCTTGTAGCATCAGCGGTAGACCCGTAGAACAAAGTTTGAGTCCAGTGGCACCTTTAAGACCAACAACGTTGAATTCTGGGTATACGTTTTCGTGTGCATGAAGATGTGTGCCTGCACATGAAAGCTTATACCAAGAATTAAACTTTGTTGGTCTTAAAGGTGCCCCTGGACTCAAATTGTATTCTGCTGCTTCAGACCAACACGGCTACTGACCTGAATCTATCTTCATGGTAGACCCATGTCTCTTTTGTACCACTGCAAGATTTGCAGGTGGAGGCCCATGTGATTGAATGTTCTTCCATGCAAAGACTTCCCCTTGTGTAGAAAACTAGAGTTCAGGGAGAAGGCTAGCTAGGCATGAACCTTTCCCCCCTCAATTGCTAGTTTTCTATTATGCAGGGAATGCCTTTTCCTAAAAGACAGTGTCTCTTGTGACACCAGTGCCTACCTTAGAAACAACGGGTCTTCTTTTCCCTTAAACCTCCCTGCTTGTTTTATTTGTATGAACATGAATGCAGATTAAATTGATTGATAGACCGTTGTACTTGAATCGGGTAGCTGCCCTAATGTTTACACCAAGCTGTGGAAATGCAAGAGTGGCTACAACTTGCGGTAAGTTTCCCCTTTCATCTCTTTCTCAGGCCCGCCTGTTAACGTTGCTATGGCTATCGAGGTCACCAGCATCGACCACATCTCCGAAGTGAACATGGTAAGTTACTCGTAGAGGGAAACCATCTGCAATGTAATGTCAAACATTTTTCTGTCGACCCTGGAGAGCCGCTGCCGGTCCGAGTAGACAATACTGATTACTCAGTAGGTGATGGGAAAGACCTCAGCCTGAGACCCTGGAGAGCCGCTGCCGGTCCGAGTAGACAATACTGACTTTGATGGACCAAGGGTCTGATTCAGCATAAGGCACACGGACTCTGTTCTCACTGAACTTTGAATTCTTCAAATATCAGTTTTCAGTTTGTTCAGAAATTGGTACAGTGGTGGTCATCGAGGGGTGTTACTAGTGAGTAAAACATGGTTGTAACATCGGCGGTAGACCCGTAGAACAAAGTTTGAGTCCAGTGACACCTTTAAGACCAACAAAGTTGAATTCTGGGTGTAAGTTTTCGTGTGCATGAAGATGTATGCATGCACATGAAAGCTTATACCAAGAAGTAAACTTTGTTGTCTTAAAGGTGCCACTGGACTCAAATTTTATTCTGTTGCTTCAGACCAACACGGCTACTGACCTGAATCTATCTTCATGGTAGACCCATGTCTCTTTTGTACCACTGCAAGATTGCAGGTGGAGGCCCATGTGACTGAATGTTCCTCCATGCAAAGACTTCCCCTTGTATAGAAAACTAGAGTTCAGGGAGAAGGCTAGGCATGAACCTTTCCCCCCTCAATTGCTAGTTTTCTATTATGCAGGGAATGCCTTTTCCTAAAAGACAGTGTCTCTTGTGACACCAGTGCCTACCTTAGAAACAACGGGTCTTCTTTTCCCTTAAACCTCCCTGCTTGTTTTATTTGTATGAACATGAATGCAGATTAAATTGATTGATAGACCGTTGTACTTGAATCGGGTAGCTGCCCTAATGTTTACACCAAGCTGTGGAAATGCAAGAGCGACTACAACTTGCGGTAAGTTTCCCCTTTCATCTCTTTCTCAGGCCCGCCTGTTAACGTTGCTATGGCTATCGAGGTCACCAGCATCGACCACATCTCCGAAGTGAACATGGTAAGTTACTCGTAGAGGGAAACCATCTGCAATGTAATGTCAAACATTTTTCTGTCGGAAAGCTGGTTTTCATGTGAAGTGAAGGAACCTGGTATGGTAGTGAACAAGCCGAATGGGCTTCCCCAGGTTCCAGTGGAGTGCGGTTTTAAAGGATGATTTGCTTCATAGCTGTTAGAGCTTTGATTCTTTTTTTTAAAAATATGTGTGTGTGTGCACTTGGAAGTCATGGCGACCTCTGGTGACTGACCCCTACTGGGGGCCTGGAGGATATTCAGAGAGGTGGCTGGGTAAAGCCTGCCCCCGTCTCCTGAGTGCTGGTATTCCAAGGAGGTCTCCCATCCAAATATTTGCCAGAGTCGACCCCACTTAGCTTCTGAGACCTGGCGAGACTGGGCCTGCCTGAGCTATCCAGGTCAGGGCTGGAGCTTTGATTCTTGAAAGCTTATACCCCCAAAATCTTGCTGGTCTCTCTACTGGACTCCAATCCAGCTGTTCATGAAAACAGGTAATGATCAGTGTTCCCTCTAAGCTGAGTTAGTGTGAGCTAGCTCACAGTTTTTTAGCCTCCGGCTCACACATTTTTATCTTAGCTCAGGAAGCATGGCTCCAGAGCAAATTAATTTCCGCAGTAGCCAAATTGCTCGCTCACAATTTGAATGCCAAGAGCTCACAAAGTAGAATTTTTGCTCACAAGACTCCACAGCTTAGAAGGAACATTGTTGATGATAGTTTGAGAGGGTAGCTATCTTGGTCTGCAATAGAACAGCCGGATTTGAGTCCAAGAGCACCTTAGAGACCTGCTAGATTTTTGAGGTAGAAGCTCTCTTTGTCAGATACCGACTATCTGATGAAGGGAATTTTGATTCTCCAGAGTTCATACTCCAAAACTAGTTGGTCCCTAAGGTGCTACCGGCCTCGAATCTGGCTGTTCTACCACCGACCAACACAGCTACCCTCTGAAACTCACTTCACAATGTATCTTTCTGATTAAGCCAGAAGGCACGTATTGGTGTTAGTTTCTCTCCGGCTTTTAGGATTCCAAATTACTTTGTTTTGCTTCTGAAGTGGAACCCATCAGAGTTCCCTCTAAGCTGAGTTAGTGTGAGCTAGCTCACAGTTTTTTGGTCTCCGACTCACACATTTTTGTCCTGGCTCAGGAAGGATGGCTCTGGAACAAACAAATCTACGCAGCAGCCAAATGGCTCGCTCACAACCTAAATGCCAGGAGCTCACAAAGTAGAATTTTTGCTCACAAGACCCCCCCAGCTTAGAGGGAGCACTGGAACCGATATGTAAGGAATTCTCAGATTCTTGTTTTTTATTTCCAGGTATGCAGGGGTCATTTCGTAGAAAAAGAGGTACAGGAGCTCATTAGCATACCTTATTAGCATAACTCATTTGCATATGCCACACCCCCTGACATCACCGGACGTGTGTCAGAAGGCAACACCCACCGCTCAGGCTTCACTGGACTGTTTTGGATTGCTAGCTATGGGGGGGGATGCGCAGATCTGCCCTCACAGAGGAGGGAGAGCTTGTACCTGAAGGCGGGCCGGGGGAGGGGGCCTCTGCAACTTACCTGGCTGCTTCTTGCTCCTCGTGGCCTGACTGAGGGCTGCTGGGAGCAGGGGGCGGGGCTTGTTGCATGTGCCCGCCCCCTGGGCTCCTTACTGCCGGAGCTCCGCTCCTGTGCGCTCCCGCAGGAAATGACCCCTGCAGGTATGTACAGACAACAGGTCTATGTGCAGGAGACAGCTACTGTTAATAAAATGCATGGGGAAAACAAGTAAGTTTTCCCTTGATGCCAGACGCCAAGACAACTTTGCACTGGGCAAGTGGGTGAGGGGAGGCCGTTCCGTTGCCCATATCTGGCTTCAGAAGCGCGTTCCTGTAAAAGGCAATCTCTGGATTCTGCCGCACTGACTCCTTTCTGTCCTCTGCTTTGCGATGATGTCCCCCTGACCAATGTTCCCTCTAAGCTGTGGAGTCCTGTGAGCAAAAATTCTACTTTGCGAGCTACTGGCATTAAAGCTGCGAGCGAACAATTTGGCTGCTGCATCAATTAGTCTGCTTTGGAGCCCTCCTTCCTGAGCTAGGGCAAAAATGTGTGAGCTGGAGGCTAAAAAACGGTGAGCTAGCTCACACTAACTCAGCTTAGATTGAACACTGCCCCGACCCAATTTAAAGGGGGGGGGAACCACCCTGCCACAAACTCTCTCTCTAATTATAAAACCTGTTCTGGATAGATGCTAACCTGATTCTCACTCTTAGGATTCAGCGTGAGGCTCCCGTGAGACGGAGACGCCAGACGCGCGGCTGGCTCGTTTACAGTGTTCTGCACTTGTAGAACTTGTAACTACAGATGTAGGTCAGGTCGTTGGCTGGCGGGCGTGACAGCCAAATGGAACACCCATGTATAGAGAGAATGTATCTTAGAACACGGGCCCCCGACCTTTTTTCAGCCCATGGGGCACCTTTGGAATTCTGACGCAGGGTGGTGGGCAAAACCACAAAATGGCTGCCGCAATATGGCTGCCGCAGCTTCCCTTCAGTCACACAGTGAAGATCGTTGTGCTGTGGTGGCCGCTGCTGCCGAAACAACGTTTTGAAAAATCTGTGCCGCCAATCAAGTCTCCAGTGGCCAATCAGAAGCCCTGCTGGACCAGGCGGCATCAGTAGGGGCAGGGCTTGTAGCCGCCACCACCTCCTGTGACAGTGGCAGTGGCCTTCCAGCTGAAAGAACTGTCAAGCAGCTGTGCAGTAGTTGCAGTGCTGCAGTTTCATTTCCTTATCCCATGTAAACCACTTTTGCATCAGCACAGTAAGTGAAACTGATTCTCCCCCAGGGTTGTAGTGTTTGTGTGCAGTGATTCATTGGTGTGGGAGGGAGGGATAGACTGTGCCTCCCATAAAGCTGTGTGAAAAGCAGGCATGCAGAAGAAGAAGAAGAAGCCCTGCTGGACAAAAGCTCACCTACTTTCTAAAAATGCTTGGTGGGTGCCAGGAACTGGGGGTCCCTGACATAGAGCACTGAAGACCCCTCTCATAGAGTATTACATGTGGTGTGGCGAACAGAGGAATGGCTACCACTCTTGGTTTGCTTCCAGAGACTAAAATGCTGGATTAGATCGATCATCTAGTGTTCAAAAACAGCAGGGCAGTTCTTACGTTCTTCTCTCTTAGCGGACATGTGCTATGGCAGTTCGCGCATGCATGCTATGAGCAAGAGCAAGGGGTGCGATCTGCTCTCCCTGACTAGATCCTGGGGACACAGAACATGCCCTGCTTCCCAGGCTTCTTGGAGCTGTCACCATTGGCAGAAGAATGCTGAACTAGATGGACCTTGGTCTGACCCTAGGGTTGCCAAGTCGACTCACCCCTCGGAGCGGGGGAGCCTTGCCGGCGTCCGGGAGGTCCGTTGGAGCGCGTGCGCACGTCACCAGAAGTGACGTGCGACATTGCTGACATTGGGGCGTGGCCGAGCTCGTCGGGGGGAAAACCATATGGTTTCCCCCCGACGAGCTCAGCCACGCCCCCAACGTCAGCAATGTGGCTGCGTCACCTCTGGTGACGCAGCTTCGGGGGCGGGGTTCCCCCCGGGGGCTGATTCCGCCGTGGCGGAAATCGGGCCTCCGAAGCAGGGGATTCCCCGGCCCCATTTGGCAACCCAACTGACCCAGCCAGATATTTGATGTTCTTGGATCTTAAATGTCTAGGGGATTTACCGTTGCTTGGATAATAAACACCGTTCCTTTAGATAGGAAGTGGCTATCAAACATTCAAGGTTACTGATATTTTACCTGGACCCTGTAAGATGCTCTTGGGATGGATTTCTGGGAGCCATCCTGAGATGGAGATACAGGTCCAAGGAGTCAGTTAGAAAGTGCTTGAAAGAATACAGGCAGGGGGGCTGCCTCTTGCTTTGAGACGTGTAGTTCCAAGTCCTGCATTTGCCTCTCCATGGGGAATGCCCAAAGTTCCCTGTTTTGCTTCTTGTTATATTTGTGTGGATTTTCCCCCCAGTGGTTTCTGCTCTCTGTTTTCACTGTTGGATTTGCAGATTCATCAGTCCTGCGTAGGTATCATGGACATCTTAAAAAAGACTGGGTGCATACATACAATGGGCAACATTTATGTGTCTCCCGTACAATGCTTATGCGTTGATTCACAGATCACATTGAGAATATGCATGTTTTATGAGAAAAATGCAGTTCAAGAAAATGTCAAGTGATACAACAATAAAGTATCGTGGGTTCGATTCATACAGTAGAAGCAGCAAAACTGGGATGTGGGACTTGGAGTCAAACAGTGAGGATGTTGTGCGTATAGTGTGTATTCATAATGTTCTTTGGTTTAGTTTGGTAGGGTATTATTGTATGGGTATGGTGGATTTTTCAATTATTATTATTTTTTTAAGAGAAATGTGAAATCCTATCTAGATGGGAGTTCTAGATGTATGATGTTTCCAGGGGTCATTTCGTAGGAAAAGAGGTGCAGGAGCTCATTAGCATAACCCATTAGCATAACTTATTTGCATATGCCACACCCCCTGACATCACCGGAAGTGTGTCAGAAGGCAACACCCACCACTCAGGCTCCACTGGACTGTTTTGGATTGCTAGCTATTGGGAGGGGGGGGAACGTGCAGATCTGTCCTCGTAGAGGAGGGAGAGCTTGTACCTGAATAAAACTTGGTCTTAAAAGTGCCACTGGACTGTTTTGGACTCGGGGGGCCGGGGGGGGGTTCTGCAACCTACCTGGCTGCTTCCTGCTCTGAGGGCTGCTGGGAGCAGGGGGTGGGGCTTGTTGCATGTGCCCGCCCCCTGGACTCTTTACTGCCGGAGCTCTGCTCTTGTGCGCTCCTGCAGGAAATGACCCCTGGATGTTTCCTTCTGACACCTTTGCTCTGAAAAGAGGTCATTTGAGATGCAATGTCACTGTTATATCATATGAGATCCAGAAGGATTCTGTTTTGAAACAACTTTGCATGGTTCTCACCCTCTCGGTTACAGTGTTAAGTTCTAAACCTGCCCTGGTGATTCTCATCCTTAGGAATATACAATGACTGTCTTCTTGCATCAAAGCTGGCGAGACGACCGGCTGTCGTACAATCACACTAATGAAACCCTGGGCTTGGACAGCCGCTTTGTGGACAAGTTGTGGGTCCCTGACACGTTCATCGTCAATGCCAAGTCCGCCTGGTTTCACGACGTCACTGTGGAGAACAAGCTTATTCGGTTGCAGCCGGATGGGGTCATTTTATACAGCATCAGGTAAAATGAAAACTTCATAGTGGAATATTCGCGGCAGTAGCTGGCAACCATAAGGTTGCAGGTGATCTTCCCTGGCTGGCTCAGCTCCGAATGAGCGAACATCTGCAGGAAGAATCCTCAGCCGTTTCCAGGAGTTCTAACAGGGTTGGCACATGCACAAGAATAGTATTTGGTAGCCGGGGTGCCACAACTGACAAGGCCCTGTCCACAAGGTTGGGGCAACTGCGGTGGCGGTGGCAGAGGCAGTTAAATGCCTGTAGAAATAGTCATCTCGAACCGCTGTAACAGCGGTTCGAATACCACCGTGGTCAGGGTGAGCTCCCGACCCTTGCCCCAGCTCCTGCCAACCCAGCAGTCCGAAAGCCCCTCGGGGCAATTAGGTAAATGGGTACCTGTCCGTAGGAGGACTGGGGGGTACCCCTCCCTCGAAATTGGGCTCCAGCCGAGTGAGGAATCGAGAAGCGGCGGCAACGCGGCGGCGGTCCGCACGAAGGAGATGAAGAGAGGCAGCGACATCCCAAGGAGGCGGTTGGCTCAGCAGCTGATGACGTGGCCATCAGGAGGACGTCCGGAGCCGTAAGGACGTTGTGATGCCCACTGCGGCTGCGCACCAGGGCCCATAACCAGCAGCCCCCGAGAGAAGTCGCCAGAGAGCCGAAAGAGCTGCGGAGGCCACGGAAGCCGCACCGGAGAGAACTGGAAGAAGTCGCCCACTCGCCGGATAAACGAACGATCGGAGCCGGGAGGGTACCTGGTAGGGTTCCCCCCACCCCAGATGTACTGTGGCCATAGTTAGGGTTTCTGCATAGATCTCTGTACCATGCACCGTGTAAGCTGCTCAGAGCCCTTCGGGAGTGAGCGGGGTACAAATTGAAAGTATAAATAAAGAAATAAATAAAACTGGAGCAAGCCCCTTCAAAACAATCTGAATAGGCGGGAAAGCTTGCATGAGAAAAGGTGATCCCTGAGAGATTCTTGTTCAAAACCAGGACTTTGAAACAAACTGTGTATTTCCTTAAATGTGTATGAAATGTCAAGGTGTGACTGCAATTCACAGAGGGGTTTTTTGTGTGTCTTCTTTCTGGGTAGGATTACGTCAACAGTGGCCTGCGACATGGACCTTACCAAATACCCCATGGACGAGCAAGAATGCATGCTGGACTTAGAAAGCTGTGAGTTGAACCCTGAGATGTTTATGAATGAGGGGCGGGTTGAAGATTTACCTTTAGCCACGGTGGTCGGGTCCTGGGGGCGCACTCCTGTTGAGAACGAGCAAGGAAACAAACAACCAGGGCGTGCAGAGTATCAAATACCTGGCTAGCCATTGCATGTGTTCATACTAAGTAGGGTTGCCAACCTCCATGAGGTACCTGGAGGTCTCCTGCAATTACAGTTGATGTCCAGATGGCCAAGACCAGTTCCCCTGGGACAGATGGCTGCTTTGGAGGGTGGAGTCTATGGCATTATTTATTTATTTATTTTTCAAATCTGTATCCCACCCTCTCTGTGAACGGGCTCAGGACGAGTCGCGCAATAGCTGGCCATTCGGCAACACGGAACGTAATAATAAGTGATCGATTAAAACATGAAAAGAGCATTTAAAGACAGCTTACACCAACATGGCAAATGGGGTTCAATGTGGCCAAGTGCAAGGTGATGCACATTGGAGCCAAAAATCCTAAATATAAATACACATTGATGGGGTCTGAACTGGCAGAGACTGATCAAGAGAGAGATCTTGGAGTTGTAGTGGATAACTCACTGAAAATGTCGAGACAGTGTGTGACTGCAATAAAGAAGGCCAATGCTATGCTGGGGATTATTAGGAAGGGTATTGAAAACAGATCAGCCAATATCATAATGCCCCTATATAAATCAATGGTGAGACCTCATTTGGAATACTGTGTGCAGTTCTGGTCACCACACCTTAAAAAGGATATTATAGCTTTGGAAAAAGTGCAGAAAAGGGCAACTCGAATGATAAAAGGGTTGGAACACTTTCCCTATGAGGAAAGGTTAAAGCGCTTAGGGCTCTTTAGCTTGGAGAAAAGACGACTGAGGGGTGACATGATCGAGGTTTATAAGATTATGCATGGGAAAGAGCAGGTAGAGAAAGAGGTACTTTTCTCCCTTTCTCACAATACAAGAACTCGTGGGCACTCCATGAAACTGCAGAGCGGTCGGGTTAGAACGGATAAGAGGAAGTACTTCTTCACCCAAAGAGTGATTAACACTTGGAATTCACTGCCACAGGAAGTGGTGGCGGCTACAAGCATGGACGGCTTCAAAAGGGAATTAGATAAGCATATGGAGCAGAGGTCCATCAGTGGCTATTAGCCACAAGTTATAGATAGGGGCTCTGGGGCAAGTGATGCTCTGTCTTCTTGGTGCTTGGGGGGGGTCAACAGTGGGAGGGCTTCTAATGTCCTGGCCCCACTGCTGGACCTCCTGATGGCACTGGTATTTCTGGCCACTGTGTGACACAGAGTGTTGGACTGGATGGGCCTTTGGCCTGATCCAACATTGGCGTCTCTTATGTTCTTATGTTCTTAATACTGGTGTCGCTAGACTCTGGGTTGATCGAATCCAGGCCGCGTAGAGATGGTGTCTTCAACGGGGGAGGTCGAGTTATTTTTACTGGATGCCCACTGCCTCGATCAAAGGCCTGGTGGAAGAGCTGCACTTTACAGGTCCCATGGAACGGAAGAAGGTCCTGCAGGGCCCTGATCTCATGCGGGGGAGCATGTTTCACCAGGCTGGGGCCAGGGCAAAGAAAACGCTGGTTGAGGCTAAACAGATGTCTCTCAGGCCAGGGTCGTTTCGTAGAAAAAGAGCTAGGGGAACTCATTAGCATAACTCATTAGCATATGCCACACCCCCTGACATCACCGGAAGTGTGTCATAAGGCCGGACTGTTTTGAATTGTTAGCTGTTGGGTGGGGGGAATGTGCAGATCTGTCCTTGCAGAGGAAGGAGAGCTTGTACCTGAATAAAACTTGGTCTTCAAGGTGCCACTGGACTGTTTTGGATTGCTAGCTATGGGGGGGACACGCACAGATCTGCCCTCACAGAGGAGGGAGAGCTTGTACCTGAAGGCGGGCCGGGGGGGGGCCTCTGCAACTTACCTGGCTGCTTCTTGCTCCTCGGCACCACGGTTTAAGAAGGATCTAGACAAGCTGGAACGTGTCCAGAGGAGGGTAACAGAGATGGTGAGGGGTCTGGAGACCAAGTCCTATGAGGAGAGGTTGAAGGAGCTGGGTACGTTTAGCCTGGAGAGGAGACGACTGAGAGGTGATAATGATAACCATCTTCAAGAACTTGAAGGGCTGTCGTATAGAGGATGGTGCGGAGTTGTTTTCTGTTGCCCCAGAAGGTTGGACCAGAACTGAGTTGCAATAAAATCAAAATTGTTTTCGGCTAAATATGAGGAAGAACTTCCTGACAGTGAGAGCAGTTCCTCAGTGGAACAGGCTTCCTCGGGAGGTGGTGGGCTCAAGCAGAGGCTAGATGGCCATTTGACAGCAATGCTGATTCTGTGAACTTAGGCAGATCATGAGAGGGAGGGCAGGAAGGGTTGCCTCAGTGCTTACATCTCATGGCCCTTTCTTACACACCCATATTGTTACTTTGGGGATCAGGCAGCAATTTTTTTTTCCAGGTCAGTTTGGTTGGGGATCCTGGAGGCTTTTTGTCAACTTCTGGGCATAGAGCAGGGGTCACTGGGTATGTGTGTGTGGGGGAGGGTAGTTGTAAATTTCCTGCATTGTGTGGGGGGTTGGACTAGATGACCCTTGAGGTCCCTTCCAGCTCTGTTTCTATGGATCAAGTCTCTGTGCGGGGCTCAGAAAGCACCAGAGCTCTTTGCTTCCTGGTGAGTGGTTTTGCCGCCGCTGCCGCCTCCTCCTTCCTCCTCCTCCTCCTCCTCCTGTTTCATTTTTAGCCCTGGCTGTTTTCCTAGGCAATTAAGCACAATGCATTTTTATCCTTTCAAATACAAGCAATCTGCTGTGTGTGTGCTTTTTTAACTAACGCCATCCCCAAATGCCACAGCAGCTAACAATGAGATCGCCATTTATTCGGCTGGCAAGATTTCTGCCAAGGACCGGGTTCTTAAATTTAATTTGCGGGTTGTTCTTTCAGGGCAGTAAACATTAGTCGACATAAAGCCTCTCTGCTAATACATTAACCTTTTCTCTCTCTTTTTTAAAGGCAAAGGAAATTGTTCCTTTTTGTTACAGAAAATAGACCAATGAGTGAGCTTATTGCTTATGCGAGTATTCTGCAGTGTTGCAGGAAAAAACCCAGAATGTGGCTCTGGGTGTGGAATTTAGCTTCCTGTTAGTTTTTGAAGCAAACTTCTAGTCCTCAGGGATGCCTAGAAGTGTTGGAAAGAGGGTGGACAGGGTGAGCCCCTTGTCCCGGCATCAAACCAACACGAGACATTGAACCGATAACCCTGATGGGTATTTTAGCGATAAGAAGGGAGGGAGAACTGGCTGAGCATCACAACACTGCAGAAGGGAAATGCAGTTTGGGGCTGTATCAAGAGAGGTATAGTTGTCCAGATCATGCAAAGTGATGGTATCACTTGCCTCTGCTCTGGTTAGACCTCATCTAGAGTATTGCGTTCAGTTTTGGGCACCACGGTTTAAGAAGGATCTAGACAAGCTGGAACGTGTCCAGAGGAGGGTAACAGAGATGGTGAGGGGTCTGGAGACCAAGTCCTATGAGGAGAGGTTGAAGGAGCTGGGTACGTTTAGCCTGGAGAGGAGACGACTGAGAGGTGATAATGATAACCATCTTCAAGAACTTGAAGGGCTGTCGTATAGAGGATGGTGCGGAGTTGTTTTCTGTTGCCCCAGAAGGTTGGACCAGAACTGAGTTGCAATAAAATCAAAATTGTTTTCGGCTAAATATGAGGAAGAACTTCCTGACAGTGAGAGCAGTTCCTCAGTGGAACAGGCTTCCTCGGGAGGTGGTGGGCTCAAGCAGAGGCTAGATGGCCATTTGACAGCAATGCTGATTCTGTGAACTTAGGCAGATCTCAAGAAGGGAGGGCAGGAAGGGTTGCCTCCGTGCTTAGTTCTTGTGGCCTTTTCTTACACGCCCAGGGGAATGCTGATCGCCACTTTGGGTTCAGGAAGCAATCTTTCTCCAGGCCAGTTTGGCTGGGAATCCTGGAGGTTTATTGTCATCTTCTGGGCATGGAGCAGGAGTCACTGGGGGTGCAGGGGGGGGAGGTATTTGTGAATTTCCTGCACGGTGCAGTGGGTTGGACTAAATGACCCTGGAGGTCCCTTCCGACTCTATGATTCTGTAACTCTTCCCCACCCCATGTTGCCTCCCAAACTTTGCAAACTGTTGGGCTTTCTCGACAAAGAGGCTCATGCGCATGAGAGAACGTTAGCTGTCAATCTCTTCCCTCTCCCCAAATCCCCGCATTTATTCCGTTTCTTTTGGCAGATGGCTACTCCTCGGAGGACATCGTCTACCATTGGTCGGAAAACCAGGACCAGATCCACGGGCTGGATAAGCTGGAGCTCGCTCAGTTCACAATCACCAGTTACCGGTTCACGAGGGAAATCATGAACTTCAAGTCTGGTAAAGAAAGCAGTCAGGAGCCTTTTACAAGTGCTGCATAAGGATAGGTCTTTGAGGAGAGGTTATGAGACAGATACATAGAGGAAAGTTCCATCGATGGTAATAATTAATAATTATTGTATGGCCTTGTGTGTAGTATAGCCAGGAGATCCTAAGACTGTCTGGCAGCCGAAAGTTCTAGCTTGTTTTACCATTATGCAACACTAGGCGGTGAGCTAGACTTGTTTTTTAGGCAAGAAACGTTTCAGAGGTGGTTTGCCATTCACTGCCTCTATGTCACGACCCTGGTATTCCTTGGAGGTCGCCCTTCCCAATACTAGCCAAAGCCAACCCTGCTTAGCTTCCGAGATCTGACGAGATCGGGCTAGCCTGGGCTATCCATCGATGGTTGTTAGATACGATGGCTGCATGGATCCTCTATGTCCAGAGGCAGTGTACCTCTGAATACTGGTTGCTGGAGGTCATACAGTAGAGGAGGGCTGTTGCTTTTAATGGAGGGCTGGCATCGGGTAGGTAGCACCAGGCTGCTGCCAAGGCTATGGGATCCTGGGAGGACCCACCTCCCACTGGACCAGGCCCACTGCTGGCAGATGGCCCCCCAAGACACCAGGCTTGGTTCTGCTTGGAACCACGATGCTGGTCTAGATGGGACTTCTGGTCTGATCTAGCAAGGCTTTTTGCCTACAAGCATCATTTCCTGGAAAAGATCAGATTTAATTCTGGGGGGAAAGCATTCAAATATCAAAGAGTTTAAGAGAGCTAATGATCACTAACCCCCCCCCCCCCCCCCCACCCACCAAAGCCACTACAAGATGATGGAAGAACATTCGGCCAACGTAAAAGTCCATGTAGACGAGTGTTCGCGAGTACTGAATACAAATTAATACGCAGTCGTTTCAGAAGACTTTAGCTTATGTTGAAGAGATGGGTGATGTCATGTTTGTATGAATAGCTTGGGTAATTTTAGAAAAATTCACAATATACTGTGTGACTCTTTACCATATGATTCCCACCCCCCTTGTTTTTAGCTTTATCACTCCGAGAGTTTAAAATACAATATCCAAGCAACTCAGCGATAGCTTCTGCTTGACAATAATTACTTAAAGCTCGGACAGCTTTTCCAGTATAATACAATGTACGCAGTGCCAGAGTCTTCAATGAAGGGCTTCATGCAGCTGTTGGCTTGAGATAATTGTGGCATCTCCCCAGCCCAAGAAGTGTGGAACGTCATACGTCTAATAATAATCGCACGTCTACAAAATCTAAAAGCGTCGCATCAGTGACCATTACAAACTGTTGTTACAGCAACATATTTCCTCAAATTGTCCCTCCGTGTATTCTGATCGAGGCATCCATTCTATAAATGGATGCCAGCTCTTTGGTTCAGGGGTCCCCAGACTTTTTGAGCTTGTGAGCATCTTTGGAATCGAGCCTGTGTTTATATCTCTGTCCCACGGCCAAGGCGTCTCAAGAGAGGCCCTGGGCACCCTGACCTGGATAGCCCAGGCAAGCCTGATACCGTCAGATCTCGGAAGCTGAGCAGGGCCAACTCTGGCAAGTACTTGGAAGGGCGACCTCCAAGGAATACCAGGGCTGGGACGCAGAGGCAGGGTAATCAAGCCACCTCTCTGAAAAATATCCAAGTCCTATATATATATATATATATATATACACACACACACACACACACACATATACAGGGGTCATTTCCTACAGGAGCACACAGGAGTGGAGCTCCGGCAGTAGAGAGCCCAGGGGGTGGGCACATGCAACAAGCCCCACCCCTGCTCCCAGCAGCCCTCAGTCAGAGCAAGAAGCAGCCAGGTAAGTTGCAGAGCTCCCCCTGCCCCCCCCCGGTCCAAAACAGTCCAGTGGCACCTTTAAGACCAAGTTTTATTCAGGTACAAGCTCTCCCTCCTCTGCGAGGACAGATCTGCACGTTCCCCCCCCCTCATAGCTAGCAATCCAAAACAGTCCAGTAGAGCCTGAGCGGTGGGTGTTGCCTTCTGACACACTTCCGGTGATGTCAGGGGGTGTGGCATATGCAAATAAGTTACGCTAATGAGTTATGCTAATGAGCTCCTGCACCTCTTTTTCTACAAAATGACCTCCATGTTTTGAGGCTCCTGGTATGTATCGGGGGAAGGCCATGGTTCAGTGGTAGAGCCTCTGCTTGACATGCAGAAGGTCCCCGGTTCAATCCCTGGCATCTCCAGTTAAAAAAGGACCAGAGGTGAAAGACCTCTGCCCAAGACCCTGGAGAGCCACTGCCAGTCTGAGTAGACAATACTGACCTTGATAGACCGATGGTCTGATTCAGTATAAAGGCAGCTGACACCAGGTGGTGGGCCACTGCAGGCACATAGCCGCACACACAGAGGAAGCCCAAGTACAGGAGGCAAGAGGAGTAACTTTTTAAAAAAACAGACCGGGAAGAAGTACGAGTGAGAATAAAACCAACACTACAGTGTCAATTGCTGCTGGAACAATGGTATTTTAATCTGCACTGCCGATTAGATATCCAGTGGCCAATCAAAACTCTGGCTGGGGAAGACGCCCACCTGCCCCCCCACTCCCTAAAATCACTTGGTGGGTGATGGGAAAGATGTCAGTGGGTACCTTGGTGTCCATAGGCACCGTGTTGGGGACCCCTGCAGTATGGTTTCTGATTGGCCACCAGAGATCTGATTGGCTGTGCAGATTAAAATAATGTAGTTTTGCTGGTGGCGGCCGCCAGTGTTGGTTCAGCTCTCTCTCACACTCCTCTACCCAAGTATATATCTTTAAAATGTGGTGGCTCCTCACTGGTGGAATGAGCTCCCGGAGGAGATCAGGGCCCTGCAGGACCTTGCATAGTTCTGCAGGGTCTGTAAAACGGAGCTCTTCCACCAGGCCTTCAACTAGGAGCCGCCCATCACTACCATCAACTATTATAACACCAATATCTGTGGTCAGTGGACTGGCCCTGTATGGACCAGGGGTCATTTTGTAGAAAAAGAAGTGCAGGATCTGTCCTCGCAGAGGAGGGAGAGCTTGTACCTGAATAAAACTTGGTCTTAAAGGTGCCACTGGACTGTTTTGGACCGGGGAGCTGGGGGGGGGGGCTCTGCAACTTACCTGGCTGCTTCTTGCTCTGACTGAGGGCTACTAGGGACAGGGGGTGGGGCTTGTTGCATGTGCCCACCCCCTGGGCTCTTTACTGCCGGAGCTCCGCTCCTGTGCGCTCCTGCAGGAAATGACCCCTGGATCAGACCAACATGCCGTGGAAGACCACTAAGTCAGGATTTAGTATGTCATCTTTAGTACATCACCTAAATTTACTGATGGATAATTGTTGCGAGCATTTTAAATGTTTTTGTATGATTGTTTTAATTGTTTTAAATGTTTTATTTAACCAGCCATACTGTGCTGCTAATGTGAGCCGCCTTGAGCCCGTCCACGGGAAAGGCAGGATATAAATATAATAAATAAATAAATAAATAAAATTACTCCTGTTGTCCCCTGTATCGGGCTTCCTCTGTGTGTGTGTGGGCGGGACTTTATGTCCCATGGCGGCCATCTTGTGGTTGCACCCTGCACCCCGTGTCAGGATTCCAACGGTGCCCCCAGGTTCAGAAAGGTTGGGGAACATGCTCTATTAAAGGGTCCCAAGGACACAGTCTTTTCCTCTACCCGAGACTCTGGAAAGCTGCCTCCAGTCAAAGTAGACAGCTCTGAACTATACAGACCCATGGACTGTCTTAAGGCAGAGGTGTCGAACTCATTTGCTACGAGGGCCGGATCTGACGTAAATGTCACTTTGTCGGGCTAAGCCGTGTGTGCCATAAAATGTAATGCCAGGTACGGGAGATATAAACTTTATAAAGGATACAGGGAAACCCAATTAAACGACATCATTTTTTACTCAAAATACAAACACGCTTAGAATATTAATACTCGTACTGAGATTTTATTACTGTTTTAATTGTATTAATTGTATATATTGTATTTTATTAAATCTGATGTAACCCGCCCTGAGCCTGCCACGTGGAGGGAGGGCGGGATATTAGTCGAATAAAATAAAAATAAAATAAATAAAATGCAGTGTTTCCTTAAAGTCTCTCCCTGATACCCACCCTCCCACTTCCACCGCCCATTACTCATTAGCACTGGGACAGTATACAGGGACATAATGGACAAGTCTCTGTCATCCAGCAGTAAAGGTAATCAGTTCCTCGTGGGCCGGATAGGAGCCCTGGATGGGCTGGTTCTGGCCCGTGGGCCGTATGTTTGACACCCCTGATCTAAGGCATCTAATGTATGCTCACTTAGTTTTTTTCAGTTGTATCGATTGGTTCTGGTGACTTTGAAATCTCTCTCAAGATGCCTGCATCTTTTTTTCCCCCTCTCCCCTTCCCCCCCCCCTTTCCTTCAGCAGGTCAGTTTCCCCGCCTGAGCCTCCACTTCCACCTGCGGCGGAATCGGGGTGTTTACATCATCCAATCCTATGTGCCTTCCATCCTCTTGGTTGCCATGTCTTGGGTTTCTTTCTGGATCAGCCAATCAGCTGTGCCTGCCCGAGTCTCATTAGGTAAAACGAGATCCCGTGTTCTCTTGGGAGCCTTGCGAGGCTAGAACCGAGGTTGCCATCCTCCAGGTGGTGGCTGGAGGTCTCCTGGGATTACAACTGAACTCCAGGCTATAGAGAGCAGTTCCCCTGGAGAAAAGGGCTGCCTTGGAAGGTGGACTCTATGGCATCATACCCCGTTGAAGTCCCTCCCCTTCCCAAACCCCGCCCTCCTCAGGCTCCGCCTCCCCCAGATATCCAGGTATTTCTCAACCAGGAGCTAGAGCCTTTGTTGTGATTCGCGGAGGTGATTTTTGCTCTGGCTTCCAGCATCAGGTGTTCTGCAGTATAAATTTCCATTATTTATTTTATTTTACTTACTTTATTTGTACCCCACTTTTTTCCTTAGTGGCAGCCCGAAGTGGCTTTATGTCATTCTCCTCTCCTCCATTTTACCCTCACAACAACCCTGTGAGGTAGGCTAGGCAGAGAGCGTGTGACTGGCCGAAGGCGCCCAGCAAGATTCCATGGCAGAGTGGGGATTCGAACCTGGGTCTCTTAGATCCTAGTCTGACACTCTAACCGCTACCCCATACATGTTCCCCTCTGTTGCATCATGGGCAATTGGCTGGGAGACCGGGTCAACCCCATTTGAATTGGCAAGGAATGAGGAATCATAGAATCATAGAGTTGGAAGGGGTCATACAGACCATCTAGTCCAACCCCCTGTCCAATGCAGGAATCTAGGACCTGGGTGAGCAAGGCAGAGTATTTTCACCTGATGTTTCGAGGAGGGCACCATACCTAAAGGGTCTCTGTAGCAGTGGTCAGGGCAAAATGAGAGCTTCAAATAAAAAGCCACGCAGTGGACAAGACGACACAGATCTCAGCCCAACTGGGATTGTATGTTGTGTGGACAGGAAGTTTTGAGTTTTAGAATATCCTGCCCACAATGGCACCATTTTTCTGCTGTCCCCGCCCCCCCGCCACTTTCCACACCACTGGAGGGCTTTTTTGCCATCTTAAAAAATAAAATAAAATTGGTGGCTGCAAATGTCCCTGTAGCAATAGAGCTCCTACCTCCTGTGTTGTAGGCAGGGGTGGGGGTGACTATAAGGGGATGGCTGAGAAAGGTGTGGACAAGAGCGTCCGTGTGGACCCTTCACTTTTAAAACAAAGCACTGAATGAAGAAAGCAGCTGCCTAACCAAACAGTGCACGTAAGTGTGGCGTGATTAAACTGGATGCAATTGACGTTGGGAACGGCAGATGACAATGTGATGCTACAATGTGGGATGTGAGCTGCTCGAAAGGTTAGGGCAGCCTTAAGTGTGGTATTCGGGAGGGAATTCTTAAAATCCCTGGCTTACTTCCAGGTATAACCACTGTCCTCACCATGACGACCCTGATGGTGAGCGCCCGTTCTTCTCTGCCGCGGGCTTCGGCCATCAAGGCCCTCGATGTCTACTTCTGGATTTGCTACGTGTTTGTCTTTGCTGCACTGGTCGAATACGCATTTGCCCACTTCAACGCTGACTACATGAAGAAGCAGAAAGACAAATTGAGGAGCAGCCGGCAAGCTGGAGAGGTCAGCAGGGGACCCCTTTTGGGTTCGAGATGTTGTATGGGCCAGAGAGTTGTCAAAGAACTTTTTCTCCCTCTCCCAAATTACTGGAATTCGAAGGCACCCAGTGAAGCTGATGGGCAGTAGGCTCAGGAAATACTACTTTATGCAGAGAGTGATTAAAATGTGGACTTCGCTGCCAGAGGATGTAGTGATGGCCACAGGAATAAACAGCTTTAAAAGGGACTGATTCATGAAGGATAAGTCTATCAGTGGCTACCAGGCATGGTGACTGAGGGGAACCTCCACATTCAGAGGCATTAGGCCTCTGAATCCCAGAGCCAGGAGGCAACATCGGGGAAGGCCTCGGCCTCTCTGCCCTGTTGTTGGACCTCCAGAGGAACTTGTTGGCTATTGTGTGAGACAGGACGCTGGACTAGATGGACCACTGGTTTGATCAAGCAGGGCTCCTCTTATGTTCTTACCTCGGCTCCAAGCCACCCAAGTGTTGGAGTGAAACACTGAGGTCACCAAGTAAAATAAATAAAACCATCATATGGCATTGTCTGTAGTATAGCCTGGAGATCCAAAGATTGTCTGGCAGCCTTAAGTTCTCTAGCCCTTTTAGTGTTATGCATGACTAAAGCAGTGAGCTAGGCTTATTTTTGGGCCGAAAGAGCTCGGTGAGAGCCCAAAGTCACCCAGTTGACTTCATGTGGAGGAATGGGGAATCGAACCCGGCTCTCCAGATTAGAGCCCATTGCTGTTGACCACTACACCACACTTGCGCTCCAAGTGTTGAACGGAAACCTCGAGGTCAGGACTGTTTTCAGCCAATACTCCCTCTAAGCTGTGGAGTCTCATGAGCAAAAATTCTACTTTGTGAGCCACCGGCATTAAAGTTCTGAGCGAGCCATTTGGCGACTGCATAAATGAGTCCGCTCTGGAGCCCTTCCCGAGCTGAGACAAAAATGTGTGAGCCGGAGGCTAAAAAACTGTGAGCTGGCTCACACTAATTCAGCCTAGAGGGAACATTGCCTTCAGCATCCCCAGAGGTGGGGCCGCTGCCAAAGCCCAGGACTCCTGAGGGGGCCAACTGCCACCAGCCTGTTGCCCTTCCCCTTGCCTGCTTGCCCTTCCCCTCCATCTGCTTGGCACTCTGCCCCCCCCCTGCATTCTCAAACTGTGTCACAGTGGGCACCCTTGGGATGGACTCCGCACAAGATTCAAGCCACCCCAAAGGCCAAATGACACTGTCCAGGCCGTTACAAGTTCATTGCGGTTCACAAGTA